ATTAGGTTTTCTGTCCAATTTAAACCATTTGAATTGCACACTTCTTTAAAAATTTGAAATAAGTTATCGCCTGTGGTTTTTGGAGTATCCCTCAGTCCTATTAATCTTTCTTGAATTTCACAACTATCATCATCAATGTATCTTACTATAAAAGAAACCTGTTCTCTGTGGGAGACGTCAAAAGTGGAATCTATTGCTATGCTAAAGAACCTTGTTTTTTTATTACTGTTAGTTACCTTATGTTTTATATAATATGATATTGAATCAATTAGATCATTTTGCCGACGCCACGAAATAAAAGAATACTGTGGCTTTTTATTATTGGCTATTCCTTCAAGTTGACCCATGTAATTTGCCATTGTAGGTGAATGTTTTGACAGTAAAGAACATAAATGTTTAAAGTTTCCCCTTAAACTACAGTGCCAATTTTCTCTATGTTCTCTGAACGATAAGTTATGTCGACCTATGTATAATGTTATGTCAATCAATTGTTTTACAATTTCTCTATTTGCATAAACTTGTTATTTTCTTTTTATTGTAAAACTAGGATTTAACTGTAATGAAGAATGTCTTAAATTTTAGTGAAGAGTAAATGTGTGACGAAAATGTTTCATGACTTATAATACTTTGCGTACAAGAAGACCAATTTCGGAAACTATCTTTGACCCATGATTTATTTGGTTTTTCTTTACCACGTCCAGGGAATGATATACAATGAACACAGTACATTCGGATCTTAGATTTGGAATATGTCAACCAATCTCTCTTAACTGTTAACAAATCTGCTAATACTACAAGGTATACACTTTTCAGAAACCTATGGCCATTGATTTGGGGATAATTCCCACCAGGTAGTTCAATAGGTTCAGGCTGATAAGGTCCCAGTTCTAATATTTTAGAAGCCATTTCAAATGTTAAATTAGTTATGTTACAAATTTGATCTGGATCATTATCAAACAAATTATTTAAATTGCCATTTTCTAAAAATATATATATATAGATAAAATAAATATTAACAGTGCCTAAATAGGCGGAAAATATTAATTACCTGGCTCTAAGCTTGGATCTACAAAACTTATGTCTGTTATGCTAACAGTTGGCACATCAAAATTTATCTCAGATTTTAAAACTGAAAATATTATAATTTATTAATTTTACTATGAAAATAAATACATTTAACAGTAATAAAGCTTTGAAAAACTAATCAAAATATAATCTATTCAGAATAATAAAATCAATACATTTTGAATATATTATTTATTTTATTTTAGTTTAAAATTATTTAATTACCATTTTTTTATTTATCATTGTCATCCGTAACTGATGCAGACATTTCAACAGTTTCACTATTTTCAGTATCTATCAACATAAATATTTATCAAAATAAATATATATATTTTAATTTTTAAATAAATTATTTACCATTTTCTGTTTTATTTTCTTCATTTAAATCTACCACAGGCTTTTCAACATCTATCAAATAACATAATAATTTTATCATTTTGGTGTAGTCTAACTACTAAATACTAATACAAGTAGGTACCTAGGCAAATTTTAAAAACTGTAATAAATACATTATTTACTGATTAACTGTAGCAATACATTTTATAGAAAACTAATTCTTTTAGAAATAGGATATTTCACAAAATTCTAAGCGTTTTTAAATATTTGAACTTTTATAACACACTAAATAAATACAAAATAATAATGTAGGTACATAATGTTTAAATTTAATCTTATGATTATCATACCAACACTATTTTATATTTTAAATAAATCCAACGTAAAATGTGTAATAAATTTTATAATTGCATCAAAACACACTATTTTTTGTTATTGTTATATATAAATAAAATAATATAATGAACACTTTTCCTAATGTTCAACACTTTTTTATACTCTTACTCAGCCCAATTTACTCATTAAAGTACTAAGATCACATAGGTAACTTTGTCAAAAATAATTCTATACTTTTTAAAATGTATTAACATAATAACATGTTAATTATGGCTGTTTCAAGATAGCAATAGTTGTCTACAAGTTGCTGATAAGGTACTTAAACCTAAAAGAGTGCAAATATGCAAACTCAACTAAATTCAAATACATTTATATTTTTATATAAATAAATAAATGTATAATGCGAAAAAATCCTTCACCAAGTAATAATATAGATATAAATATATAATACATTAATACATGAGAAAACTTACTTTTAGTATTATTGTCGGCAACTTTAATACGATCCAAAGTTATATAGCATAGTTTTTTTTTTATAGGGAGATGACTGAATGGCAAGTACTTCTCTTTTCTTTTTTTTGGCCTTCTTTGTGGCCCCAGATTTATAAGTACGCTTATTATTCATAATTATTAACTAATATAAGCTGATGATGTATAATATTCGAAATGCATTAACACATTAGTGCGGTAACGAGTACATAAACACACAAAATTCCAGGTCTTCACCAATCACCAGTGCACGACTATGGGATATTGGGATTTACCTGTATCGACTATCGAGTATCGGATCTCTGCTATTATCAATATAACACCGATCGATAATATTAATATTTCTAAAAATAACAATGGATTTCAGTACTCCGCGCCGACGCGTGTAAGTGTAATTATAGTTATCTATATTAGTTATTGTATATTAATATTTGTTTGTATATTTGGCACTGCCAACTCTTAACGTTTTAATCAACGTTCTAAAGATCCAGTTGAATAGTTTGCAGTGATGCATTTATAATGTTTGCTCCAGATACCAGAGTAGGGCCCCGTGACCCACGAGAAATCAGTGCAATTGCACCTTTGGTACCCTACGTGGGCGCCACTGTCTATGCCCGTATGTTACTGCTCGTTATCATTAACTTTCTCGTATTATCAATTATCATTCATGGTGTTTGGTTACGGTAAGACTATATCTGACTTAGTCAGCCGAAATCGTCCAAATTTTTGGAATAAATAATCGATCTGGTTATCTACGCAGTGTCGGCCTGGTACCTAAAGGGCCCCGGATGCATTTCTTCAGAAGGGCCCCCAAAAATGTTTTTTCATAAAATTATTAAAAATGTACTTATAAGTAGGTAGTGTAAAATATTATAATTTATTAAAGGTACCATATATAAAATTAACCATCCATTAAGTTAAGATTTAAGTTAGATTAATAATTTATTATTCTAAAAAATTTTTTACATATTACATAATATAAATAATACCTTCTCACATTATACAACTTAATATTTTTTTTAATGTGATTCAAATTCAAAATTAATTGTGCATTTGTTTTTCTTTTTATCAGTAATTTTTTTAGTTCACTAGATGAGTTAGCAATCGTATCAATCAACTCATCTGAGTCAATCAAAATATCCTTTTCAATGGACATTAGCATTAATGGATTAAGATGTTCTTGGTGTAAAGAAGACCGAAGTTTAGTTTTGATTATTTTCAGCTTTGAAAATACTCTTTCACAGGTAGTCTGTGTTGATGGTAATAGCAACACAAATTTATATAATGTGAACAAATTACAAAATAAATTAGATTGACATGACAGCTCTTGGAGCAAAATCAATGCACAGTGAAGACATTTAGTGCATTTGTCACATTTAATTTGTTCGGTGGGTTTAACTTCAATATCTTCAGCTTCATCAGTATATATCATTTTAGAAGATTTAGATTTATTATCGTGAAAATCATTTTCAGATACATCTGGTATGAAATTACTATACTGACAAGCAAACTGTTTTAGCTCAATGGCAATGATCTCTTTGTCTAAATCAGTATTTTTTTTACATTCAATAACATTGCTTTCTACATAAAAAAAAAAGTAATAATAAACTAATTAGGTACCTACTTAATGAAATTAAATAAATAAATATTTTAATAATAATTTTACCATTTGTGTCTACAACATAACCAGAAGATTCACTGTTTTGAATGTCTTCAGGACATTCCATAACGTTGCTTCCTGCATAAAAAAAAAGTAATAATAAACTAATTAGGTACCTACTTAAGTACTTAATGAAAGTAAATAAATAAATATTTTACCATTTGTATCTACAAAATAACCAGAAGATTCACTGTTTTGAATGTCTTCAGGACATTCGATAACATTGCTTTCTGCATTACAAAAATTAATAATAAACTAATTAGGTACCTACTTAATGAAATTAAATAAAGAAATAATTTAATAATAATTTTACCATTTGTGTCTACAACATAACTAGAAGATTCGCTATTTTGAATTTCTTCAGAACATTCAATAACGTTGCTTTCTGCATAAAAAAAAAATTATAATACATAAAAAAACATTTTTCCAATACACTTACCTTCAGTCCGAAATTGTTGCTTGGGCACTTGGAAAAAATTAATTTTTGTTTGATTTAAAGAAGATCCGACTTCTAATAGCAATTTTTTATTTTTCTTATTCCTTTTTTTATAACCTGACATGTAAACACGTTTCATATTTGATGACTGAAGTTAATTAAATTAAATAATATAATAAATATTTAGATATGTAAAAGAACCACATTCAACCACGTAGAGAAACAGAAGATTTAGAGCAGTACTATGATATAATATAATTTTTGTAACACTACACAACATCTCATTGTGATTACTGTGTGCTCACATTGATTATCGAATGACAACATAAATAATTAAAAACAAAATGAACACACCACACAGGGTTGGGTGATATTGATATACCATCATAATCAGAAAATTGCAGTAAAACTGTTCTAAATATAGGTACATGGTACATTGGCTTTTCCGTCTGGAGGTCGAAAACTATCTATTATTTACGATAACAATAATCACTCACACAGATAACAAAAGTTATCACATAAATACATAATAATATTATAAATGATAAAATCGTACAATAACATTATTAATAATAATATTCATTATCCAATATTTATATTTCTGAGTACGATCGGGGGCGGGGGCCCCCGAACACAAATACGGTCGAGGGCCCCGGACGCGTTTGCGGCCTAGCGGCCATGGCCAGGCCGACACTGTATCTACGACACTGTGTGGGCGAATGGGACGTGTCGATTGAAAATCGTTTGGAAAATTCCAGACGTTTATGCTAGAACAAAGATGTTCTGAACATAATATGAACTTCTTCCAAGTTCCAAGGTCCTCCAATAGGGCGAAATACTGGAACCAATAAATGTAATTATTTATTTTTAATAGACATTTTAATTAGTAATTAACGGTGAACTTAGTTATTTAAATAAAGAATAATTTTAGTTAATTTATTACAGTTCAAAAATCGATATTGACTCAAAAGTTAACAACAATAATACATTAAATGCAAGGTTTTCTGTAAAAATGTTTTCAACGTACCGTAATATACTAATAGTGAAACAAATAACTATGGTCTATGATAGCCATATAAATGCAAGTAGGTATCATAAAATAGATAGGTATAGAAAGATCATTTTTACTCAGAATTGTTTTTCGTATGTCATAATTTTTTTATTGAATTAAAATTGACCGCATAGGCATAGGTAGGGTAAGGTTATATTATAACAATTAACAGTTACATTACAGTGACTTACTTAATGATGAGATACCTACCTACACTAAACACCAACTGTACGTCTTGAACCTTCATGGCTACATCAGATAGCGATTAGCGATTCTCTACCTACTTTAACCCTTTTGACATACTTACACAATTACCAATGGCATATAGATAAACACCATGCAATTTGCATAATAAATTATTATATTAATCATATTTTCATCATGCTAAAATACATTTTTATTTATCCTTAGTACAATTCTGCACACTAAACTCATAGCGTCATCCCCTCATTTTGCATCTGAAAATAATTTGTTGAACACTTGTTGTACGTATACAACTACTAACCGGTATTGTGAACGATACCATCGACCGTCAGCAGGTGCAAGCCACTTGTATTATAGATGCCCAAGGTACCATTATCATGGCTGGCCACCCATAATTTATACACAAACATTGAGTTTCAAAACTCGCCCCACTATGACTGGGCTCTGAAACACTACCTGCAGCATGTTATCTATTCCACATTTCCATCTAGAAACAGTCGTGCAAGTTATACCTTAGTGTGTCGACGTGAAATGTGAATACGCTGTATAACCACACGGAAAGTAATAATTATTATTAACGTCGATTGACGGTAAGTTGACTGTGATTTAACAATACTTAATCGTACAAATCTTAAGGGAATGACAAACGCTATTCATTTTTCATCTAAACAACTTTAGCGACTGACAAAAATTTAGGTACTTCCAATGGTTCGATTTAAAACAAGTTAAGATGTTTGAATAGGTAAAAAAGTCTACTTTGTATCAGTCGGAGCGTATATTTTGTATATATTTTAATACATTCAATTTTAACAATTGACAAATGTATAAAATGTAAAATATTTATTCTCTTTAAGTGCTCCAACCGATGCAAATTAAGCTTATTTACCAATTCAATTGTTTTAATATTTTTAAAATCAAATGGCTATAAGTACCTTAATTTTGGTCAGTCGTACAGCTATTTCACATCCATAAATTGGTTTTGATTACTTTGATCTAATGAATAAATGGCATGTGCATGCGTTTGCGTATTATGTACGATGAGGGTCATACCGAACCGCTTAAAAATTGTACGATTGCAATCCTTCCAAAACAAAAATGAATTCAATACCAAGTCATATACTTTTTTGATATGACATGTGCATTTAGCATTGTATAAATGATAACCAAAATTGTTATTGTAATCATAGGCGTACACATGAAGGGACAGTATCACGTCAAAACAACAAAACCAAAAAAAAGCGAATGTCAAATAACGACGGCAAAATAGTTTAAAAAAGACATAATAAGCAAATGTATAAACAGCTTAAGTGTATTATTTTAAAATTATTATTATTATATGTGTTTAGTAGTGATACATCGAATTAAATATAAAAATTAAAAATTAAAACATTAACTATAAAATATATAAATTAATTTTGACCACGACATTTTTCACTTCCGCACTTCTTCAGTATGAAACTCTGCCGTTTTCACCATCCTTCCGATACAACAATTTTACAAGTGGTTAATTTTTTTGTGAAGTTAAGTGTTCGATATTTTTAAACGCCATAACTGTGAAACTATAATAAAATAATACACGAATACAACTGTGCCACTATTTACTGTAACGTCGTGACACTAAACGATCCATGATTTAACATTCACTGTCGTCGAATATTGCGCTCGTTTCTAATCTAAATAGGTATATTTTATTATTATTTATTGTACCTCGTCCGTCCAGTATATTGGATAACCCAGCTATAAAACTGTTTGGGATTATAATATGTATCTTCATAAGTTATAAGTTATAAGTAATACTATTACTACAGATACAGTGGCGGAACTACGATCATTGAGGCCCGTGGGTACAATTTTTTAGAGGCCCCGAGGTCCTAGATCTGTAATTTAAATTTCTAAACATTGGGTTGTTTATTTGTATGCAATAAAAAAAAATATATATACATTTATAGTAAATTAATAGGTTATTGAATTATAATTTCAGAAACAGTAATAAATAATAATAATATTTTGTTTACAATGAAAATAATTTTTTTCTACAACTATATTTTAAGCCAATGTTGGCCCAACAATAAAAAATATAAAAATATAAAATGTATACTATATTATAATACCTAATAAGTGACAATCGTATCCACGATTATATAAATATATAATATATTAACGTGACGATGTGCAAAATTCGCGTAAACGGTATAATAATAAGATTGTCGATACTCGATATGGGATTTCACGTTCACTATATATTTCATAAAAATAATATGACAACTAACGTAATTTTACTAACTACTTTCAACAAATTTTAAATTATAAGGTTCTTTAATTTTTTTTTAAATTTAAAATATTGTGTAGATGAAATATGTAACATATATTATGTTCAAAACCATTAGGTTTAATAATTAAATGTCCAGTATTTACGTAATACCAGTCACCAATGACCACAATGATTGTATACGAATCACAATTTAATGTTGTCTTTCAATGCAAAATAATTGTAAAACTACTTACCTAAGTAACTTGAGCATCAAGCACAGTCTGTACCACTCATATCAAATCGTTGGAAATTGGAATGAAATGAAAAAAATAATTTCCCTCTTGGGCCATAGTATATAATCTATTTCTATAGTATAGTATACCAGCTATTATAGGCTCTACTACGAATTACCGCGTATCGCCGCCGCATGCCCGCATTATACTCGTATAATATTATAATTCACATAAATTATTATTAATAGTATCTACTAAATATTATCGTGTGTGATTATCCGTATACACGTTTAGTAATCACTTCAGTTGTATACTTTGTATTATTTCAGTATTCAATGATTTTATTAACTTGAACCAAATTTTTTTTTAAAAGTACATAATTTTGCTGCGAGGCGCCGAAGCCCCTTTAACGACGAGGGCTGCGGAAAATCCCGCCTTCAATCATGATATGTAGTTCCGCCACTGTATAGATAAATAATAACAATAATAATTTTAAAATAATATACTTAGGTTGTTTTGAACATTCACTATTATATCATTTAGCCATTGAATGCTTAGCTATTTTTCCGTTGCTATTTTGACATTCGCTCTTTTTATTTCGCAATTATGATGGTGAAAAGTTCAGGGAGAGCAACTATCCTTCCTGTGGGTTTAATTATTTTCCACAAATATTGTATATCAATTGTAATTATTAGGACATTTTATTGAAATTATTTTTAAAAATACCTACCATCAATAAGAATAATTTACAACAGATTTAAAAACCTGAAATTCTGCCCTACCACAGTAAGATCTGATCATGTCCATGAATGTAACTTATTGATTTAATTTATAATTATAAAATCTTTAAAATTATCAGGGACGTAAATATGTATTAAATTAAATTTTGTTAGTTACATTTATTATTTAAGTTTGATTAACCTATTATATTATATAGGTATTTTTCTTTAATTAACCAATCCAGCACTTACCTAACATTTAGTCATTTATATTGCAAAATATAATACGTCATATTTCATTTTATTTTTATTTTATGTTGCACAGCCATAAAATGTTTACGTTAGCCAAATTATCATACATGGCTTGCAATGAAAAAGAAAAATTCCACTACAATAGTTTACAGACTCCAAGAATTGGTGTGAAATCATGCTGTATAGACATTTTGAGTTACATAAAGGTTAAAACAAATTGCAATATGTCTGACAATGTAGACAGCATAAACTCCTGTGGTAATTATAAAAATAATAAACACGTATTATAATATAGCAGGGACTTTAAATTATTAATTTCATTAACCTTAAAGTAGAAGCCATAAATGCCAATACAATAAGTGAAAAAGCTGTTTCCAATGGACATCTCGAGTGTTTGAAATTTGTTACACAACAACCAGATTTAATTAAGAACAATGTGATTTGCAACCAAGCCGCTTCCGAGGGACAACTTGAATGTCTGAAACACCTCCACGAACAAGATTTTCCATGGGATGAAGTTGTGTGCGAAAATGCGGCTTTATATGGTCACTTGGAGTGTTTACAATATGCACATGACAGAGGATGCCCTTGGAATAATATTGTGTGCGCTAAAGCTGCATACAACGGTCACCTAGAATGCCTCACATATGCTCACACAAATGGTTGTTTGTGGGATGAAATAACGTGTGAAGCTGCAGCCATCAATGGGCACTTGGCATGTTTACAATATGCCCATGAAAATGGATGTTTATGGGATATATTCACCTGCATAGGAGCTGTGTGTAACACACACAGTCAATGTTTTAATTATGCAATTGAAAACTTCTGCCCATGGGATGGAGACATTTTAATAAGCTATTGGTTTTCGCAATTAGGTACCAATATTACAGAATAAGTACTTTTACAAATTATTATTATTTCTATTAATAACAGTTTAACATAATAATATCCTATAATATGGCATTACCTGTACAATATTTTAATATTTAAAAAATAGCTCGTAAATGTAGGTTATTAGAGTTCTTAGATAATCATAATTTTTTCACGGGAATCAATTTAATTTCCGGAGTAATCTCTTGAGTCTCGATGAGTGGTAGTGCACTACAAACCACTCAATACGTATATAAATAGAAATCTAGATAACAAAAAACATGTTCTTGGAATTTTCTTAGGTATTAATAAGCTTTTGATTCGGTTGATCATAAAATTCTACTCGATAAACTTTGTTGTTGTGGTAAATGAGGACTTGGAGGAATTTGAAAATCGAATCATTATTTCCACTACTTATCGTTTACCCACTACACAGCCACAATATTTTTTTAAAACACACATCATTGTAAAATCAATACTTTAATCTAAAATAGAATATAATATGTTGGAGAATTTTGTGTAGACAAATCAAATATTTAATTAAGAGTGATAGTGATAGGTGACTGTAACTAAATTAGGGCAGCTATTGTTATTATTTACAGTTATTTTTCCCGGCTGATTTTTCCTCGCAGTTCCTGACTAACTTTGCTTTTCCTACCATTGCTACCAATAAGGTATAGAAAGCAAAATTGTATGTATTATATGTCCGAAACTATCACAGGTCTGGTTTTATGTATTATCTAATATCTATGATTCGTCGTCATTTTCAATATTATTTCGAAACAATCGTTTATCAACAGCAAGGACAAGTCCGCAGTTATAGGTTTGTAGGATATAATATATACTCAGTGGTGTTGCTAAAAATATTCATGAGTAGGTACACGCTTTCTTGAGGTGGTTAAATCTTAGGATGCGTGTATGGGTACAGATGATTTATTAATGAGTGTATGTAACAATACAGATTGCGCTTTTTGATTACTCGATTACTCGTACGCACAGTAATGCGGGGTAGCAGGGTAAGATATACATCTGTATAGATGCATGTATAGATTATTGTATTTTTTTGTAAAGACAGCCTACGTCACTGCAAGATGTTGTTACGCAGCCCGCATGCCGTTGTCATACCCGGTTCTTGTCTAGTAGGATAAGGTCTATGATATTTATGTATAACTATTAGAAATTTACAAGTAAAGAGAGTTAGAAATAAACATAATATAATTATATCTTTATATACTATCTTAAACTGGTAATTAGTTGTTAAAATATTAAATCATATCAGCTAATAATATCATGTTCTAAATAGTAATAATAATATTTGAGAAATTAAAATTACAACTAATTATTGAACATTTTTTTTTCATCGCTGAAAATTATAATAGATATACGGCAGGGCTATACGCCTATGTACCCACGTTTCTTCTTTTATTTACGATAAAAAGAAACTCACAGATATATAAACATACGTATGTTTATATATCTGTGAAGAAACTACAGAAGTGAGTATACTCCGTATACCCCCGTAACCCCCCACCACAATACATTACTGTCTATAGTATATCCGTGTATCTGTAAGTGAAGGACAGAGTAGGTACAGAGTAATGGTCAAGTAATTGTCGGGAAATTTACCGGGAGGGCTGCACTGTTTGGCGGGTGGCGATGGTGGTGGTAACGACAACCACGCTCCGCCAGCGATTGCCAGGAACCCACAACCCTGCCGCGTTTTTGCACACAACATTGTTGTTCTTTGTTCACACGCACGACCACAGTATCTCCGACCAAACATCTATACTCCGAACACCTGCCGTCGATGGTATGTCATTCGTGATTCGTCGGTCATCCGCTAGTAAACCGTCGCGCCTTTCGTCGTTCAGTCGGTCACTTGTTGCTCTTCGACGTCTGTTAGTCTTCACCTTGTCTGTGACGTTGTACGTTTGTTTGCGCTCGTTGTGTTCCGGTCGTCCGCACCTTTAAATATTTGTTTTAATAACGACGTTACATTTGCAACACTTAAGTTGTTAATATTTTACATTTTTGACTTGTCGCGGCGTTCAGTTTTAAATTTTAAACTCACGAGGTGCAAGTTATTGTGAACTATTTTCAACATGATTGATGTTTTTGGACCCGTAAAGTCACTACTGAAAATCGACGAAGTGTGCATCGACAACTTCGTGTTCAAATTGCACTACAAGGCGACGCTTTGTATCCTACTGGGTTGCTCGATTCTAGTAACATGCCGGCAGTACTTCGGAGATGCAATAGATTGCATGGTTGATGGTATTCCAAGCGGTATCATGGACACATACTGTTGGATATACTCGACGTTCACCATACCAGATCGTTTCGACGGAAAGGAGGGCAGAACCATGGCGCATCCGGGTGTCTCAGATTTCGAAGAGGGTGTTGATGGTGTTAAGTACCATAAATATTACCAATGGGTATGTTTTGTGTTGTTCTTTCAGGCCATGTTCTTCTATGTACCCAGGTACATCTGGAAAATATGGGAGGCTGGACGCATGAAGGTACTGGTCCTTGACCTCAACAGTCCGTTTTCTTTTGATTCCGAACACCGGCAATCATTGATAAACTATTTTGTCCACAACCTACATTCACAGAATTTCTACTTCATTCGGTTTTTCCTCTGCGAGATCTTAAACTTGTGCAATGTCTTTCTTCAGATTTATCTTATCGACTGCTTTCTTGAAGGTGAATTTAGAACCTATGGCTATGATGTGTTAAAAATGACAGAACTGAATCCTGAAGATCGCAAGGATGTAATGTCTCGAGTTTTTCCTCTAGTCACTAAGTGTACATTTAACAAATACGGACAATCTGGCACTATACAGAAATTCGATGGTATGTGCATATTGCCTCAAAACAATCTTAACGAAAAAATATATGTATTCTTATGGTTCTGGTTCTGGTTTATTGCCATTATCAGCGTATTAAACGTTGTGTATCGTATACTTTTCATTTTGGTACCCCATTTCCGTTTATTTTTATTGAGATCGAGAATTGATCGCCTTTCTTATGAAAATATGAACATTTTAATTCAGAAGTTTTGGATTGGTGATTGGTTTGTCTTTTATCAATTGGCCCAGAATGTCAGCCCAGTAGTTTTCAGAGAGTTTGTTTCAGAATTGACTAATAAGTTTGAGACAAATGTTAATGTGTAATTGCAACTCAATAAATCTAAAGCATCATTCTACATTTTTAACAAACGTAAATAGTTAATAGTTCAGGTATCAATAAGAAATAAAACTTTTATTTAAAAATGTTTGTATATCAGCCCATATGAATACAATTTATAAAAGGTATTTAAAACTAATTTCCAATTTAAATTAATGAAATACAGGGTTTTACTAAAAAAAAAATATTTTATAAACATAAAAAATATGTGTATTAGTGTATATTATTATTATTATTATTATTGTATATCTCGACAATCATTATTTTATATTCAAAATTACCCTACATTTTGTATTGATTTTTAACTTTTCGATGGCCACTTTCTGTAAAATAAAATAGTTAAATTTAAGTGTATGTTCACATTTATGTTACATATCATTTCTTTGTCAATAAATTAAGTCTAAATCATCCTGTCATTAAAATAAAACTGATAAATAAATATTAAACTATACTGTGTTGTTTGAGACAATAAACATAAATATATTTTTTAACTAAAATGAAGTTTGTGTTTTATTATTTATTTATTGTGATAATCTTCTAGTTTATTCAGTACAGGTTATTGTACAGTCATTGTATACAAATGTAATGATTTATGATTTATATTTAAATTGGGTTGGGTAAGTTTCTCAATAAGTGATTACTGGTTGCAACTTTACAAGTGACACTAAAACTGTGCATATAGTTACAAGGTACTTTAAAAATTAGTAACTGGTTCAGTTACATTATCTTAGGCCTTAGCAGTGTTCGGCACGTTTATTAAAAAAGGAACTTGTTCAAATTCATGTTTTTTTCAAATTAAGGAGTTCACGTTCACTGAAAAAATGAATGTGTTCACTTGGTCATTCAATGAATTTTTTAATAAGAAAATGCCTATTATTACATAATATAATTAATCAATACATTTTAAACATATATTTATTAAATGGTAAGTAAATTCTTAAAAAAGGTTCAATTTATTCAAATATAAACGTCGGTCACGTATCATTCAATAAATATGAACGTGAACGTGGGTTCATGAACAACGTTTTTCTCAAACACTGGTCCTTAGATACTTTTAAAGTTACTAGTCATTTAATTATTTATACAGATTTCTTCTGACAAATTATTATATAGCTAAATATTTGTTTGTATTGAGGGTTCATGATCAGAATGTATTACCTAGGTAAGTTATAACTAATGCTTGAAAGTTGTATTAGTTGCATATTTTTCTATAATATGCTCAAGATGTATAGCTGACCAAGCTAAAAATCCATTTTATACAATAACAAGTGTTAAAAATGGTTAAACTTGGATAAGTTTAAGGGTATACTTAAGAGTATAAAGTTATAAATGAATAAAATTAAAATATTGAATTCACTCTTTATAAATGTTCAATCTGGTTTTGATGTTGTGTGCTGTGATGAATGAACTTTTGAAATAGAATATACACTACTATATTATGTAACTCAAATTATCTTCAGAACAATTAATCCATAAAATGATTTATGACTATTACCAATATAGACCCTTTATTTTTTGATTAATTTTTTGTCATAATATTTATGTAAATGCTAATAGTTTGAAAATGTATTATTCTCTGTCCAAGGGTCTTGTTTTAATATATTATTAAAAAAAAAATTTTTAACTCTTAAATGCATTATAGGCAGAGAGTGGAATTGTATGCATTTTCATATTCATGTGGAGTGTACCTATGCACAACAATGAGTTTTCAAAATGTAGGATTTTCAAATCAAACTGATTTCAAACACAACATTGTATTATTTGTATTTGCATATTGATACATATTTGAGGGGTCAAGGCATATTTTATTATTAAATAATATAATTTGTATATTTTATACAATTTTAATAAAAAAAAAACTTCAGTTTTCTAAAAAAAACATATTGATATTACAAATAATATTTTTCAGTTCAATAATTACCACTGCCAACTATAAACCAGTTTTCCAAATATCATTTTTCTTAATCATTAATGATTTACTAAAATAATTTTTTGTTTAGTAACTAACAAAAAATTGATAATGATAATTATAAAACATATCTTTTAATACAAAAAATTAGCTAATAATAATTAACAAGGTTTGGTATCTACGAGTCAACAAATTAAAGTTAAGTTACTTTTAACTTATTTACATGTCAGTTACTTTTTTTTTAGAGGTAACATCTAACTTAATAAGTTAAGTTTGTTTCCGTGTTTTGAAAATACTTAAGAATTATTTTATTTTATTTTTCCATTAAAATTTAAGTTATTATTTCCTAAAACAGCAGATTTAAAATACATTCCATTTTGAAAAAATTAATTTTATAAAAAAAAAATAATAATAATAATTTATAATATTGGTATGATATTGCATATTCAAAGAATATATTACGTAGGTACATTATAAACTGAAAAGAGATAGGGTTAACCGTATATTTAGGAAACGAAAATATAACAATTTACTCAGTATCCCATATGAGTTTGAATATTTAACTATCTATATAATTAATAACCATTACTTATTATTATATTTGTATTCATTTATAAAATTACAACTGAATTGGATAATATTTGATATTTTAATGTGTGTAGGTTAGGTTATAATTTAGTTACATTAGGTAGTTGTGGGCTGTAAAGGAAACAAACATAAACATAATTATTTTGTTGGATTTTGTCATTGATTTAAGTATTAATGTATTTAAGTATAAGAACCTACTTACAGAAATCAATTGTATTATATAAATTTATTTAAAATTATAAGACTTATTAAATGACTATGTTATTTATTAGCTTTAAAAATGTATATTTTTTAATTTTATATGAAAACAAAGTAAATGATTTTATTTTATTTTCTAGTTAACTTGTAACTTTTACAAGCTTAAAAAAAAATAGTAAACTTACCCAGCCTTTATAATAATTATATAATTCCAAAAAAAAATATATCTTTTCGCTTATTTAAAATTATTGAAACATAGGTTTCAAAGTATAATAAAATATTATAACTACAAATAAAAATGTACGTTTTGACCATATGATATATATAAAAAATTTGAACGCCAAATGCAAGATATATTATAAAACGTTGACACAAAATATGGATAAACCACTTATGCCAGTCCCATACGACTGGAGAACTTGGCCAATATTAGTCATAGGCCACGAGTGATCAGTTCTATGGAAGGCTTTTGTCAAAAATGTAACATTTTTTATTACTGGCTCGTATCATTAGATTGTTGGTAAACTTTATATATTACCTACTCAAAAGAACACTTATATTTAAATACACCACATGGTATTTATTTGTATCTATATAACTGTGTATAATGAACTACCTAGTAGTTCAGTGTATGAAATAACAAGCAAGTTAAAAAGATTTTGTTCTAACTTAAAAACAATAAATGATAATTAAAACTATATTTTTTGAAAAAAAAAACAATTTTCATATCAATAAAGTTTGATAAAATATGTAAAAAATATTTAAATATTTAAAAATGATAACGTTGACGATATTGATATTGTCCAATTATCACCTTTTAAAGGTAGCGCATTAAAATGATATTTTTTGTAAATATATTACTGCAGGTACATTGTTATCCTAGTACAATTACTATCGTATTTGTAAATTTATTACTACAATGATTTGTAATTTAGAGTATTGAATATTGATAACAACATTTTTGATATACTTAAAAAATGAATATAAAGACCTATATATACCTATAGAATACTATTTAATCATTGATGTATATATTTTTTCTACCCCCCCCCCCACCCCAACAAAAAAAATTCAGAAAACCTGTTCACGGGCCATGATTTACATAAATTCACATTCAGTATATGTCACAAAAGACAATAATAATAATTAATTTCAATAATAACACTGTAGACGTTCACTGTTTTATACAGATATACATATTATCTGAAATAATATCTATTAGTCCGCTGTCTGATGTAACGAAATTTGTGCCTATTCACAACTAACAAATCACTCCCCCTTTCCGAACTTAGATGACGAGTTTCATTTTCCACTTAAAAAAATAAATAATTAAAATATAATTACAATTTTAACACTGTAAAACCGACACAGTCGAAGCAATAACACAACTGACAGTAAATAGATATTATAAACATAAAGTGTGTGCGATTAACTATAACATAGGTATATTCGCACATGTATTGGAATTTACAATCAAGATAATAATTCTGATCCAAAAGTAAAATAGAAAATATGACCTATTACTTCTTAATGATGGAAAGTTCGTCTGGTATCGGAAATAATAAGTAATAATAATAAATAATCTACTATGGAGAGTAAAGTATGGATCTCCATATGGACTATGGCCACTTAGAGGTAAAAATGGTAAAGCTCGAGCAGTCGTATCACTCTCCATTTATCACAAACTGAGTCGTTTTCGAGAGACGTTTTATTGGTTTTTATGGTTTAATCTGATTTCTATACGTAATTACTAACTATGAATATTACGATAGCCGATAGGTGACAAACATTGAGTGTACAACTTGAATACACGAGTAATATTATTATTATTACTGCTTGTAAATTCTTGTACACATAATATTTTGCTGTGTTAACGTGTACCTACAGATTGTAAATATTATATTAACTTATAATACTGTCTTCCACATATACTCCCGGGTCAGCATAGTCACTGTAGGAATAATACCATAATATATTATGCTGTTATGTCAGCACACATAATAATATAATGCGTTTTTCAGGTTCACCTTGTACCCATATGGAGTATTTTATTTCCTTTATAATCCTCCGTATCGAATCTCTTCGGAATTCAACCCTTATTCTATTTACTCAGTGAAGCTGTGTGAACAGTGAACACCGTATCCTGTCGAATACCTAACTGCCTAGCTACGTGTAGAATCCAAGGGTCATTTATTGTCCTTTTGTAAGAGCACGTACCTACCGAATTTCAAAGAGACACCATAAAATATTAAACACAATAGTTGAACAAAATTGACAGGTTTTGAATTATGTTTCGACTGTTCGAGTTTCTCTTTTCGGCTTAAAATTTCTTTTATATAGCTGTTATAGT